GATGTTACGCACTGATTTTCAGACTTTGGGACATTTACTTCAAAACAATGGGATCTAACTGCTCCCCGTGTAGCAATGATGGACAGAGATGCAGTCTCACTTCCTGCTCTAAAATGTATGGGTGTGGCTAAAATATGGCTTCACCTATGGACTAAAAATCTTTGTTTTTTGGAAATGACAGGAAACTGTAGGACAGAATTTTAGAATTTAGACAGAATTTTTATTTACAAATTAAACTCATGATAAAGCTAAATCTTTCAACTTCACTTTAAAAGAAATTAAAAGAAAAGTTGGGACGCAAAATGTAACAAAAAAAACAAAATGCAATGATGTGCAAATCATTTAAACGCTATATTTCATTAAAAATAGTACAAAGACAACATATCAAACATTGAAACTGAGAAATTTTATTGTTTTTTGACAATGGTCATGTAAAAATGAATCATGATGTTTGGTAAATAAAGCCACACAAATGTTTTAAGTGAACCTCAGGGGGGGGAAATAAAATGCAAGAAAAATGTAGGATATGGGCCTTATAGCAATAGTTTGGAGAAAAATCTAATTTTTCCTTTACCCAGAATGTAGTTAAACAGCTAAGACATGTTTGGTGTTTGCAGTGGAGCTACAAGGCTAAGCTAACAAGTAATCCTACCAATTGGCATCATGCAAACTGCAACCTAAATCATCACATGAGCCCCAAACTGTGACAGGCTAATGTGGTTTTGACACTTTAAAACAGAAATGGCAGTTAACATTGTCCTCCATGTGCACTGAGCTATCCTATGACACTGCGTTAGTGGCAGTTTGAAAAGTATCTTACAGGAAGCATGTTAGCCTTCACCCTCCCAGCTTGGTAGCATCATGTGATATTCAGAGGGATAGCTTTTGTGAGGAACTTGATACTATATGACACATTGTTATCTATAAACAGAATGACAGAATACCTAAGCAGCAGGCCCAGGCTTAGACATTCTGAGGGACAGGGGTTCAATGGAAAACAAGAGCAAATGAAACATGAATTAAACTTTATTTAATTTATGGCATATGCAAACACTTGTATCCAGAGACAGAGTAATTGTCTTTCAGAGGAAACCAAATGTACTGTTAAGTTTTTTCCCAAAGCAGACAAAAATATTAGCTTCATGGCCCAAACAGGGATTTAAACCCCACTTCCAGTGTAAAATACTGCAACATTTTCCACTACACATTTGCAAATAATCTTATCTCGACTTTCTCAGACCTTAACTTAGGACAAAAGTTATGAAATGCAGAAACTTCATATCTTTTGTCCTAAGTTAAGATCTGATCTAAGGTCAAGATAAGACTTTGTATTACAAATTACAAATTTGTATTATAGAAGCATCTTACCTCAGTCAAGGTGGATAATTGAGGTCGATGATCAATTGTTACATCTGTTACCAAGCAACCAATAGTATGCGCACAGCTAAACACGTAATCAAAATAATACTATAAATATAAGTTAGTTAGGTAGACAGCTACTGTTACCATTATAAAAAAGGTCAGAACAAATCTAAAGTGCAATAAACTGAAAGTTGGGAATTTTGTGAGAGCGCCCTCTCCTATTTAACAGAGGATAGCTGCTCCCCAGTTTCAGTTTCCATTTCCCAAATGGTTTAGCCAGCATGCGAGCTGCACTAACATTGTTCCTCCAAATAAACAGCCACACATACACCTATATCTCCTCATTATTCACCACCATCACTGTAATATTTTATTTAATAAGCTTTCATCAACATTAACATACAAAGGGTAAGAGATCATGTCTGTAATGTCAGATTTTTAAAATGAAGAGTTAAAAAATATCGCAAGTGAAACCACCATTTTGCAATATAAATAAAAACAGATGGTTAAAATAGAATAGAGCACTGTTGGGGTTTAAGTGTCTTGTGTAATACTGTTTCTTATCTGGAGTTAGGATAAGCTTAGAAAGTTAGGAACTGTTATTCTGCAATAGCTACTGGCCTAAATTCAGTCCTAACTAAAGTTTGCCATGGTGACTAAACAGATAAGATACAATGTCAGAGTTAGAATGTTTCTGTAAAATGGCCCTAGGTTGCTAAGCTAAATGCTGGGACGTATATTGCACCATGGAACAAAGTTTTATTAAAGCTTTACAGCATCAACTTTTACTTATAACATTTACAGTTTTACATATGAGAATCTGTCACACTGAGAATCTTGCTTCAGCTTTTGACAGTGTGACCTATTTTTGTTACACTGGGGCTAGACTGGGCCTCACATTTCCTAAATAGCTCTGGAAGAATGGCCATAACCGTATTAGCTTAATGCTGTATCTGTTCTACAGTCTGAGGGCAAAAGGGGATGGTCTCAAGCCCCCCCTGGGTTTCAGCTGTACTTTTGTCCATTTTTAGAGGTAACCAAATGTCACACAGTATCAGAAACCACATAAGTAACTGTGCTGATTTAGACATGCTGTTTCCCCAAAGCTAAATGATGACGTGTTAGCCTCGTAGCTCCAGACAATAAACCTTTTTTGGCTGATCAGCTGCATTTAGGGGCGAGGGAAAAAATCTGTATCATGTGATCATTTTTCCAAACTTCATCTTTAACAGCGAGTATAGTTCATTTTAACTCAATGAGTGCATAACAGTCTTCATATCCAGATGTGCATGCAGTAGATGTCCATGTGATGGAAACAAGGCTGCTTTGTCAGGCCTTCTTCCTAGAAAACCAGTTTGACAGATTGCTCTATTAGTGTATTAGGAGCTGCACCACAAAAAGCACTATTAACACAACATTGTGCAGTGTGGCTTGCAGTCTAATAAGATGTGATAACTGTTTGGGCATGAGCCAGATGTTAAGCCTTCCATAAGGCGAGTGTGTGATGACTGCTGAGGGTATTAGCTGTAAAGATGCTGTGTCTGAAAATAGTGTTTGAAAGCATCATGTGTGGGCACAGAACAAAGAATCCATTTCAAAGACAGTTCTCCTTTATTCTAAAGGCACTGTTAATATGCCTGTGATGGAGTGGAATTATAAATGCAATGGGTTTATTTAACTTCCATCCTGCTTGTGTGAATAGTTCTCTCTCTTGGAGCGGCTCTAGGAGGATCCATGGCCTTGAAGCGTGTCACGGCAAAGGCGATTAGCGGGAATAGAAATTGACGCCTAAACGGTGAAAGCTTTGGATGCATTGTGGGAGGGAAAGACTATAATTCTCGTGGAACAATCCACAGCATCCCACTCGACAAATTGTTGGAGGTACCGTTCTGAAGGCTATTGCTGCGTGAGGTAAAGGTATTTTTAGGACGCGGTGGCTGAGCTGGAACATGAGCGTAAAATAGGAGTAGCCAGGACAATGTGTTTGTGACCACTATGTCTGAAAAGCATGTAGGACAAATTGTTCTCTAAATCGTTGAAGCCCCGTATCCCTCTCTTCACAGGCGGGGATTGGTGTGAGGAGAATGCTGTCTAGAAAAATACAGATACCAGCTACAGCCTCATTGTCTAGCTAGAACTGTGGGTAGATGAGATGTTCCTCCTTTCCTTCCTTCCTTAATTTTCTTTTTCTTTCTTACTTTCAAGTACACTCTTAAAAATAAAGGTTCCTCAGTTGTTCTTGGCTTAGATGTGCAGTTCTAAGAAAAATACTGGTATAAAATTCTTGTATTGTGTCGAGCTTCTTTAAACTTTAAGGCAGTTCTTGAAAGCCCCCTGAGTGGCACAGCCATCTAAGCATTGCTCTCATCTGGTCTTTCATTGCTGGGGTTCCAATAAAGTATAACTGGCCTTGCACTCTGTGGGCCTTCCCTCTCCACACATCACTCAGCACTAGCCAACATGGGAATCTGTTAGCTGACATAATAGAACTGGAGGTCTGTGTTCTCCTCTAAGCGTGTTGAGCTGTTTAATACCATTACATTAAGCAGCATCATGCAACTCGGAGGAAGCTCACAGTAGCCTTCATCCACCCAGTTTGGTATCATTGTGTGATATGAAATTTCTTTAAAACAGCATCAAGTAAAAGGTTCTTTAGGGAAACAAAAGTGGTTCTTCTATTGCATCACTCCAAATAACCCACCTATATCAGCAGTGGTGTTAAACTACTGGCCTGTAGGCCACATCTAACCAGCGAGATAGTTTTATCTGGCCTGTCACATATTTACAATTTATTCTTAAATGTTTTAAAATTTATTTATTTATTTTGTGTTTTTGGTTTTGTTCTTCCGTGGCTAAATATTTACATATGGTAGATTTGCTTCACTTACCAGACGCCGTGGCTGCTTAAATCTATATAACTTTAAGCTGATGCTTATGTTAAATGCAAAAATAGAACATATAAAAAAAATAGAACACTGTATGCCAGAGGAACAAAAAAAAAGGTAATTGTCAAATTAATCCACAGAGAATGAAAAATTAAATGCCCTACTTTGCATTTCGCTTGCGATAACTTCACTCATATTCAGCAGAAATGCCAGTGCTGTCAAAATAAGAGTTCTCTATAATTCTACTGTTAAATATAGGTTTTCCTGATTTAATGGAATAATATAATATTTATCAAAAACTATGTATTTATACAATTACTATTTATACTTTATACTACTGCTAATTTAATTTGTAGTGGTAGTAGTTGTATATAACACATTGACTAAGATGTGCTTAAATGAGTGTATACTGCTGTGCAAAGAAAAACAAGTGTCTCCAAAATGGCAACTTTACACTTTTGTAATGTAAAGAAATTTTATTACAAGCAATTCTGGAGCATTTCTATTGGTCCATTCATCATGGGGCTTGCACACAATATAAAGAGCAGCTGCTGTGCTTATATGATGCAGAAAAAAAAACCTTTTTCAGCAGTGATATTATGTAGTTAAAATTCATTTGTGAAAACAAAAATATATACATATAGATGAAAAAATGTATTCAGTTAAAATTCATAAAAAACATGGGAAAATCTTGTCCTGCATTTTTTCAGCTAACCCCACTTGAAGAGTTCTACCTTCTTTTGGCCCCCAGGTGATTTGAGTTTGAGACCCCTCTTTAAGAGTGTACAGGATATGATTGCTCAAGCAGTGTCAGAGGGCTGCCTTGGCAAATAAACTGCTAGAGTTTCCTAACCAGCAGAATGTGTGAATGTCATCTGCCTGCTGCTGTTGGCCTGTGTTTATTTTTTTTTCCACCACCCACTGGTTAAACCGGCTCAGAGAATCGCGGAAGCAGGAAATCGTGTCTCATGCACCTGCCTTTCACTAACACAGTCCACTCTGACTCTATGCAGCTTTACTCTTCTCTGTATCACGCACTCACAGGTAAGCCAGTAATTTTCACTGCATTGTTATAAGAAGGTGTGTGGAACTGCTTAGGAATAAAGAAATAAAGTAATTCAAACTCTGCACTACAGCAGGCAGGCTATGTGTCTATTGTGTGGTGGTGAGAGTACAAGATGCCTTTTACTTTCATTTTATTCCTTCCTGAACTGAAAGGTGTGCATTCTGCATGCTTTCTTTTCCTCATTTATTTGGTTCCACCTGTTATAATGATAACGTTGATGTTTACAGAAAACCCTTTTAGTACTTACACAAGTTCAGTGAGTTAACTAAGCCTGGATGCTTTTTCAATATTACAGGTGCAGCCTAGCTGATCCCAGGCAGACGTCTGACGAGTTGTTTGTGGGTTTACGCTGCCACATATCAGATAATCAGACCTTACCTGGCCTCATAAGCAGCAGAATGTCAGAAACAGATGAGTCATTCAAGGCTGTGCAGCTTGACCAAAACGCTGCAGAGTCCACTAAACCAGAGCCAGAGATCCCTCAGCCTTATTCGAGTGAAGCTGACCCGGCCAGCACTCAGACAGAAATAGGAGAGAGAACACCAGCCCTAGCATCCACTGAGGATGACCAAGGAGGGAGGTGGACCTCCGCTGTGGAGCAGTTCAAGATCAAGAGATTCTTTGTCCTTCGGGTAACATGAGATCTTGTTCTTGTTAAATCAAAATCTCTTAAAATTAAAATGAAGGTTCAGACGAACAGTTCTTGGAACCTTTAATTGGTGTAGAACCTTCATTATATGTTGGTTAAATATATTTAAGAAGGGTGCATATCACGTGCATATCTCATTAACAAAAATGGTTCTTTAAAGAACCATCCACTAAAAGTTTTTTTAGGGAACCAAACATGGTTCTTGTTCAGCTTGGGTGCCCGATCCTAGTCCTGGACCCCAACCCTCCTGGCTCTAATATTCAGATGCCTCTGAAGGCCTTTAATACCTGGATCAGGGTTGGAGCTAAACTCTGCAGGGTGGTAGATCTCCAGAACCAAGATGGGGCACCTCTGTTCTATTGCATTGTTTAAAGATCTCTAGTTTGGCACCTTTATTTTTAAGACTATACAGTTTCTGGTTTGTTAGTGTTCTGCTGATATTTCATGCTTCTGCTCAAAGGGAGTTACATTATCAGTCAAATGAAGGAGAAACATGGGGTTAAGTGCCACAAGAGTGGCAACAGGATACTACAAATTGGGATCATATCCATGATATTTGGGGTTTGAGCCCAGCTCATAGTTTTCTACACAGTGCCATCACCAGTCTGTTCTCACAACAGGCTAGTGTTTTACAATAAAGCACAATTTCTTCCCATTGTACATTGTTATTGATTGGATTAACATTTGTCATTTCGTTCTAACAATGGACTGCTCCTTGCCACACCCTCTGTAAACATACTTAATGGCATGTTAAGCTAACAGAGTAAAGCCATAAAGCTCGCCTTTCCTTCTCTGTTACTGTCACCTTTTTCGACTTATTGTTTCCAGTCTAACACACCGTCCTTGTCTGGAGGCAGCAGTAGCAGCTCTTTTTTGCTCTGACCTGGAAAAATTTGGTTACCAAATTGTGTCTATGGCAGCTCAGACACTGAGACATTGTTCAGTTTGCAGAGTGCACTCAAAGTTCATGGAGAATGCTGTCATAAGAATGCTCAGGGTCTCACTAAGCCATTTCTACTGAAATATTAAAAGGCATTTGTAGTAGCAGCTTGTCACTAAATAGAGTTTGGAGGACACATCTGGCACATCTTTACTGACTTTACTGACTGACTGTCTAGAACTAATCACTCCAGTTTTTGCGCTAATCCTGCAGCATAAGACTAACTTTGTTACATTTTGTTCCTGGTTTAGCCCGGGACGCTGGATCATGCCATTGAGGATATCAAAGCCCTGGTAAACCCCAAGGATGACGGTGCTGTCCAGGGCATTTGGCTAATGGCTGAGTATGTTTCTACCTTTTCAGTTCAAATGCAGTAGGGCCCAAATTTCTGAGACCACACTGTAAAATGTGGGATATTTTTCATTTAATCCTGAAAATAAACAACAGAAAGTTTTAGAATTTTGAAAAATTGAAAAATAGTTATGATGAAGAGACATTCTAAATTCTGCACTAGTTCTAGGACACTATTCAAATGTAAGCCCTTTTGGGACACTGACCATGTTAAAGACTTTGTATCAAAAGTTTTATCTCTTGCACTGAAGCTTGTGTTCAGACTGGTCTCAGGTGGACTTCATCTACTCATCAGAGGCTTTTGGATAAACTTGTTCACACCAGCTTGAGTACACTCTGTCATTGTAGCTAAAGGGGGACATTCATGTATTCATTACACTTAATTTGAAAGCAATGGAAAATAAAAGCATTTTCACTAATGGTCTCAGACTTTTGGACCCCACTGTAGATACATGCAATAGATATAATGCCAACAAGACAAACTCACTGATTCCAATGCGTCTCTAATGCTGCTCCAACATGAATAATCAAATATTTATGTGGTCCCTTCCTAATACTTATAATCACTCCACAAACCCAGTCATCTGCCTGTGTGACTATCGATTCTCAACTCAGTCAGTAGAGCTGCAGTTTTTTGTGTTTCTAGACATGTTTATGGCTCTGGATGCATACAGACTGAGCCCAGCACCAGGAGTTTGTTTGCATTGTTGCATTCGTTCCTCAGAGGAAGATTGCACTATTACTCTGAAGTTCCGCTTTGAGAAACTCTGTTAACTGACTCTGTTTTTTAGAGGACTTCCCTTTCTTTACTTGCATATAATTTAAAATATCATTTATCATAACATCAGTTAGACTCTTGTTGCTTATTGGGCAGTAGGGAAGTGGCACATATGTAAATGGCAAACAAATCATAGTGTGTCAAGCAGTGCTTTACAGATAAACGTAGTTGTCAGCCATCAACCTACAATCATTTCACCCATATGGACCAAAGTGGTGGCATATGGTGCGGTCTTACTGTTGCTGGAGCTTGCATAAGTATTCTGAATAGACTATTTTATACTAACATCTTAGAGATGCCAAACTGCAGAATGGCTGCAGCTGACAGTCCATTATTCAGCCGTGTGTTCTGTAAGTAAGTAAGATGTGCAGGAAATTATTAAAGTGAAATAAACAGGCAGCAAAACAGGGCTGCTGGAGGACGTTTTGCTAAATGCGCCGGCTGATGTCAACTCCTATCTGTCTGGACGCAGGCTTTCAGGAAATTCTTTTAAGACCTTACCACGTGAGGATGAATAATATATCTCATTTTCCTCGGCCCAAAACACACACAGACACACACACACACACACAACTATTTCCTGCTCTGTGGGTTGAGTTGTGCATCTACCCAAGAGTCTAAGTGCAATCTTTGTGACCTGTGCTATTGTTTTATGGAAGGCTTTGCTGAAAATAATTTATGTGCCACTGTGTCTTACGTCAGGTCTTATCATGTATGTAGCTATAAATTCAGGCATGAAATTACATGGTTTGAATAGTGCCTGTGCTGAGGTGTTTATTGTTTGAATACTATCTACAGGATTGTAGTGTTTGCACTGAGTAATCCAATGTATTGGGCTCCAGCAGTTAACCCATTGGAGACCTTCGAAGAGTTATTATTGCAATTTTGCTATACTACATATATTACACAATTATATAAGTGACTAGAAAAGTGTGTTTTCTGAAGAAAATTGAGACTGCACAGCCTATGCAACTGCCCAATATTGATAGGATGTCCCAGATGGTTGCTATGGTCTTTTATAGTCTTTTGCCTAAAGGATGCTTAGGTATCCAAGGTAGTTGCTATGCTGTTACTTGGCAGTTGTTATAGTGTTTCAGGAGGATGCTAGGGCAGGGGTCTGCAACATGTGGCTCTTTCACTGTCCTGTTGTGGCTCCACAGCAGAATTAGGTAAAAATAAAATAATCCTACTTTGCAGTAAAATAAAGCTCTGCTGATTGTTCTAACACAGTTTTAACAATAAATGGTCTTAAACACTGTAGTTGTATAATGTATATCTGCTAATTCACTCCTCAACCCTGAAGGTTGGTGCGCAGACTGCTGACCACCATAGCAACACAGACAACAATCTCGCCTAGCTAGTAGCTAGAAAAAAAAAAGCCAAGAGAAAGATTTAAAATGAACATTGATAATTTGGAGACGAAATGACTGATAAGCACTCAGCTGGTTTCCTGACACGTTTAATCTGCAACGAGAAACTGTCAAACACTAACAAGTCACGAAGCTGAAGTCACCTTCTTTTCAAACGGTGCAGCAGTTACATTCTAGCACCTCAGGCACCATTTAAGGTGGAACGGCAAAATTCGAATAAGAAGCTGGAGAATGAGAAGTGACTTCAGCCTCATAAAAAGTCAAACGTTGAGAGACATTTTACAAGAAAATTTTCTACTCTTGAAGAAACGTTTCCTGCTGGAGATGAGAGAAAAGCGGCTATAGCTGAACTAAAACTTAAAGCAGAGCAAAGTAAGTCTGTGGTTTCGTATATATTATGTTTTTTGGCCTATACTAGGACATTGGCACATACTGAGACATATTTGCAGCCAAGATGGTAAAATGGATATAAAATGTTGTGGATCCCCAGGTGATTTGATTTTTATTGAAAGGACAAAATGACTCTTCTTATCAATTCATTTGGGTTGCATAGCAATGTGCAATCACTTATTACATAGATATATTATTTTTATATTTATATTTTGTATATTATATTTACATTTTACCTATATTCTGTAGTCAATTCACACTTCTGTTTTTTCCTTTTGAAATGTTAAAAAATGAGAAAACATGGCAAAGAATACTGGAAGGATAAAGGATAAACCAAACTGCACAATTATAATGTTCTGTCATGTTCAAATCATAATAAAACTCATCTTCTTCTAAATAACTACACATTTTAAATCTATACTTTTGACTTTATATACGTGCTTGTTTCAGTGAGCTATGATACATAATACTTTTGTTATCACCAGGAATAGCTGTCATTTCTAAGGGTTAAAGTCTGAGGGTGTGCACTTTCTGAACTTTGATCTTTAGTGCCAGTTGTTGAGCTCATTGGGAAGTAATGTTTGCCTTCTGAGCTGTGGAGAGATTGCTGTGTTTAAAGGGTCCAGCTTGGCTTGAGGAAGACTCTGTTTACAGTATCATCCTCACAGTCCCTGAGGCTGCTCAGGAGTAAATGGGTCAGTGGGTGTGAGAGTGTGTCTGTGTGTGTGGTGGGGACTCCTTTCACACCTCCACATCCCCTAGACCCTCATGTCCATTGAAGGAGTCCACAGGGTAATCAGAAGAATAGACCCATAGGGCCTCTGATGATGTATTGTATGGTGGGCACACTATACAGTTTGTGTGGGGATTAGTGTTTGTATGTGGTTTTATTTTTTCCCAAGACACCCTGTTTGAAAATGGAACGTAGCCAAGATTTGCTGTCATGTACTATGCAAAACTTCATTTAATTTACATTCAAAACGTTCATTAAGTGCAAGCTATTCATTTTTAAGAGACCAGGAAGAAAACATATCGTTGCTTTGTGGGTTATAACTTTACAAGAGAAGCCAAAAAAGCCCTTACTTTTAAAATAAGTGAGTGTAAAGAGATTTTATTACAAGTAATTTTAGATTGATCCATTTATTTGCATTCGTTGTGAAAATTACTGTGCTTAAATGAGGAAAAAAAAACAATAATGGATACTTTTTTTTTTACTGTAATAATACATTCAAATGAAAATTACACTGAAGTCTCAGTAACTAAATCTAGTATCATATTTTGTAGTATTTAGTTTATTCCAATTTTGCTGGTGGTGAACAAGGGACTGACCACCCCAGACTCCAGACCTCAACATCACTTAATGTGTTTGGGATTACTTGGATTGTGAGAAACAGGAAGTACAACCTAAGTACAATCTAAGACTGACCTTTGGATGTGTTGAAATATATCCCTGCAGAAACTGAAAGCAAGTCTACTCAAAAGAATGGAAGCTGTAATAAAGTTAAAGAGTGGACACACAATATACTAATGATACATGATATTGTATTTAGGTGATGAGGTTTCTTACACCACACTTATGTTATCGCCTGCACATGCGGTGCGCGCACACACACACACACACACACACACACACACACGCACACACACACACACACACACACACACACACATCTGGACAACTCCACAAATCACGTGTTCTCAGAGCTCCCTGCTGAGAGACACTCCAAGAAAAGATTTAGAAGGAGGGAGAGAATAACAGAGGGTTGTTTTCCACTCGTAAATCGTCTTCTCTTTCACATGTTCTGTGTAAATCAGTCTCTCTTCTCTCCTCTGCCCCGCAGCCCTTCTTAATACACGTGCTCACCTGCAGCAGCAGCACACTGAAGCTAAATCGCTGGAGCGCCAGCCGCCCGTGTTTGGTGTTTGTCTCAAAAAAAGGTCATTCATATTCAGGGCTCATGTGTCACTGATTCGTCTTCTGAACTCGTCTTTGTTCTTTGTGTCAGTGTCGCGTTTGGGACCTGAAGATGCAGGCATTCATATTTGATGAGTTTTTTGCCAACGGCAATTCTTGAAATTTTGAAGCTTTTAGAGTATGTACATAATTGAGAGGCTTTTGTGCTTTTGTCTTACCTCAAAATAACTCAACACAAAATCCGCTCCGCTCTGTCAAAATATGCCACCCACAACTGCAGAATTAGACAGACGTGTGCGCAAACTCCTCAAGCAACCGCTTTTACAGGCCCTATGAACATCCACCGTACACCCAAGACACCGGCGTGCTTTCTTAATTTCTAAGAATTACAGCGCAGTCAGTTAAGCGTTTTCCTCTGATCTTTTTTGTTTTCAGTGATTTATTTTAGTCAGATAATACATGATGTGGCTCACTCCTTCTTAGCATCACAGCTTGAGATGTAATTACTCTGTTTGCAATGAATTTATTCGAGACGCCCTGAGCGCTAATCTCTAAAAACCAAATAGATTGAAACAGTGCTCATTTCTCACAGGTTTCATTCCCTCCATCCTGTCGCTGACACCTTGGTGCTTAATCCGTCATTCTCTAATTTAATTTCCAGCAGCGTTTTTGTTTCCACGTCTTTGCTGAGAGCAGAGCTGGATGTGTTAGCGGCAGCCTGGTGTGAATATAGGCCACTATTGGCGGAGCTGAGCTAACGTGTGCAGCTCTGAGTGGAGCTCTAGAGTCAGGCAGGCCCAGTAGGAGCCCGAAGAACCCACGCTAATACGCTACCTACTCAAAGCTGAGCCCTGGTAGTGAAGGAAAGAGTTCATAAGAGTCTGTCATACCAAGATGGCAGTGAATGTTTGTTTTTTAATTAAATATAGGTCTTCATATCAATGCATGTGTCTTTCTGTCTCCTTGTATCTCTCTGTAGGCCTACAGGCTTCTTGTAGTACACCAGATCTATAATGAAGGGTCATTCATGAAGCACAAGCTACAGACAGACAGCAGTGGGGTAGATATTGTCACCAGATGGAATCTTGTTTTGTAGTGTGAGGTGGGTTGCCAGCCATCTAAGACTGACCTTAAAGGGGCTGTCAATGTATTCTCTTAGTCTGTTCATGCAATTATCTATAGGCCCCTGCAGGAATGTACTATTGACTTTGAAGTAAATAACAATACCGGTTATTTCAATTGAGAAATTTTTCACTTTTGTGTTTATTCTGTTGAATTTGAAGTGGGGGAAGACGCTGACATGAAGTAATCCCTCAAACCATTTAGAATGAAGGCAGATTATGTAGGCCAGGGCTCCTTACCTCAGCCTTGTCCCCTACAAACCAAAGTCTCTTTAGTTGTGTCTCATCCGGCACCAGTGATCGCACTAGCTTGCATTTTAAAAACATGATAAAAACATGGTACCTTTTAACCATGGTTAAATCACTGCAACACGACTTTAATATAAAAACATGCCTGTGGTGCTTACTTTAAAAAGACCAGTTCCACAATTTCACATGAGGGAAAACTGACTCTCTCTCCCTGTTTTAAATGAAAATCATGCAAAGACAACCATATCAGCCTCATTGGTTTTTGTTAATATACGTTTGTTCTGAAATTGACACCTGCAACTCGTTCCAGAAAATTGAGACAGGAGCAATTTAAGACTAGAAACATTGTTCAGAAAACATTTTATAAGAGGTGGTGTAATCATGCTTGGGTATAAAGGAGCATCCAGGAAAGGCATCATCCTTTATGAGTGAAGATGGGAGTTTTTGCTGAACAAATGCATCAGCAAATAGTGCTATTGGCTTTCAAGTAAAAAAACATTCCTTAAAGGATTTGAAGTATTTCACTCTCTGTAGTGCAGAATATTATCAAAAGAAAAATCTTTGTGTGTAAAAAGCAAAGCCAAAAACTACAAATGAATGCCCTGTGATTTTTAACTCCTCTGATAGCACTGCATTAAAAAAAAAACGGCATGCTTCTGTGATGAATATCACTGCATGGGCTCAGGAATACTTTGGCATACTATTGTCAGAAGACACTGTCCGTTGCATTGAAAAGACTGCACTATGTACAGTGGAAGTCATATGTCAACAACGTCCAAAAAACTGCAGACTTCTTTGGTCTTGAGCTCATCTGAAATGAACGGATGCACAGTGGAAACGTGTATTGTGGTCTGATGAGTCAACATTTCAGATTGTTTATGGATATAATGCACTTTGATTAATGATCATCAAGTCACATCTTCAGGTCATTGATATATTTTTATTTTTTGCAATGCAGTTGACAGACTTCAGAAACTGGCTAAAGAAGAATGAAAATGAATAAAAAAATATATGAAAAACGCTAGCTTGTTAAATTGTTAGAGACAACCAAATTAGCTATCTGGGAAATGGGAAAAAATAAGGCTATCAGGGCTGGATGAATTATCCTGGGAAGATGTAAGGGTGCCTAAATGCAGGGTGACTAAAGTTAAATTTAGTGTTACAGGCAGGTGGGCTATGTGGCTGTAATCTTTTGGAAAAAAAAGGGGAAAATAATGAATGACTGAATTAGCATTAGAATTTTATTAGTATTAGTATTAGAATTTATATGTATTAGTAGTTTAGTATTAGTAATAGTGTTAGTAGTTTAGTATTAGTAGTTTAGTATTAGTAGTAGTATTAGTAGTCTGGTATTAGTAGTTTGCTATTGTTAATAGTATTAGTAGTCTGATATCAGTAGTAGTATTAGTAGTTTGCTATTAGTAGTAGTATTAGCAGTCTAGTATTAGTAGTAGTATTAGTGGTTTAGAGTTAGTAGTAGTATTAGTAGTTTGGTATTAGTAGTTTGCTATTGTTAGTACTATTAGTAGTCTAATATCAGTAGTAGTATTAGTAGTAGTATTAATAGTTTTAAGCCGTGTTGAGGTGACCAGTGTTGTAGTCGTTTCACCTAAAGATATTAAAACTCTCTCTCTCTCTCTCTCTCTCTCTCTCTCTCCCCCTCTCCCCCAGGATTGATCACTGGAACAATGAGAAAGAGCGGCTGGTGCTCATCACAGAGAACTCGCTCCTCATCTGCAAGTATGATTTTATCATGCTGAACTGTGAGCAGATCCAGAGAGTTCCACTTAACTTTGTGGACCGCATTACCCACGGGGCCTTCTCCTTCCCCCCTCGCTCCCTCCTTAAGTGAGTAACTCTCTGTGCTTCTGTAGTACCCTATCTCCTTCTTTATCAAAGACCAGAGCATCTTACCTGAGTGACCACCTTTCTCCAGAATTCTATCGCTACCCAACAGCCAGTAGCGTAACTACCAGCAGTGCACACAGGCCAGTTGCACTAGAGCCATTAGCGCAGGCGTGGGGGGGGCTCCCTAATGTCTTTATTGGACCCTTATTGCTACTTATATATATAATACTAATATATTTCAACCATTAGCCTACATTAGTGCACCAACTTGATGATACGTCACAATAGTTGAGCAAACAAGACAGTTTTTTTTGTTCATTAAAGTTTATATTTGTTCAGGGACCCTGTTCATTTTTTTGCACTGGGGCCTCATAAGATTGTAACTGCACCACTGCCAGCAGCTTCGCTGCTTCTCTTATTGGCACATCTGCATCAGATAACCACCAACACTGGTAGTAACTGTACCATGAATGTCAGGAATGAAAAGACAATCATATTTAAATAACAATTGTTGTTTTGCCAAATGTTGTCAAGCGTAGTGAATGCTGCAGTGAAGCAGAAGCTCAGCGGTAAATTCTTCTTTACCTTTTGCATTTCATGGTTGTTGGATGGTTAACATAGTGAAGCAGATACAGGATTTCCAGAAAAACAAGGGAGTGAATCATGTCAGCATGAGCACAGTGCTGGAATATTCAGTAATCTGTGTTGATTACTGTAATCTAGAGGTTTACTGGAAGTGAGTATTACTGAGGAAATGTGTGGTTTTGTGTAAAGCTTGTTAGTAGCACTTTAATAAAAGCTGAAGACCAGATTAGAGTATATGTGTTTCAATCGCATGTCTATATTAAGTAAAAGGAGTTCGCCAGTGTTTTTCAACTTAACTGCTATCCACTACATCAATATTGCATTATCATTGACGATGGACAGTAATTTCAGTGTATTTTCCTGTACTTAGAAAAGAACAGAAAATCAATTGACTTGAAACTGTTATAATAAAAGCCAATGGGCAGTCACTGAACTCCATGAATAAATGTTTGAAATACGTGGTGTCACAGCTATGACCACTACAGCCTAAAGACACAGGGCTGCATTTACATGTTGGCATTTAAAGAAATGGCGTTCTGTGCCTCATAGCGGTATGCAGCCACGGAAACATTGTAATAGTGACAGCATCACCGGTGACAATGGATAGTTATCAGAAGAAAACTTTAGCAGTGTAGACTGTTTACTTTAGGTAGAAAAAGGCAGGAGGACGCTCTGTACTCTTTACATTTTTGTTTGTTGTATAGATGGGTTTCTGTGCAATGTCATCACAGAGATGCATGAACAACTAGGGGGCAGAAAGCAACAGAAAGCAGCTTGCCTAATGGCAGCACTCTTCACAGCATAAAGCAACAATGACAAGGAGTTGTTGTGCAGTAAACTGCACCGACCGTAGAGAAGATGGTTAGAGAATGTTTACTATCCAGAGGGGATCACATCCTTTTACCAAACAGCGTGGAAGATTATGGATCCAAGCCATCCAAAGGGCGGCTTGGGGTCCTGATGGTCTCAAAGGCAGCAAAAGTCTGTGCAGAGCCCACTTCATATATGAATGTAGTGTCTTTTTTGATAGGGTGATTGGCTATCAACACATCCAAAGTAGTTTTGATACTGGTAGATTTTTCTGACATGGTGTTTTATATGAGACTCAAGTCAGCTTCCTATTTGCCAACTTCTTGGTTGAATTTTCTTGTTCTACTTTAAATGATGCCTGAGTGGGCAGTGGCCTGAGGTGCCACAATGTAACTGCTGCACCATTGAAGGTGGAACAGAAAAATTGGAGCAACAAGCTGGTGTATACGAAGCTGACTTCAGCTTTGTGTGATTTAGGCTATCAAAATATCCTACCTATAGTTTTATGTAGAGGTCTGCCTATAAATATTCGCTGGGGTAGGACATTTTGACAAGGTTGCACAATTCATCAGAGCACTGGTACGTTTCTGTTTGCTAACATTAGCTAGTTAGGTAATGAGTAAGTTAGCAGTGTGTGTGATTCATATCAGTGATAGCTAAACTAAATAATCTTGGTTTTGTTCAGTAGGTCATAGGCTAACTGACTGGCCAACATAAATTGTCTGTTTACTTGGCTTAGCAACACTAACAGTATCACCAAGCTCCTGATGCTGTTAAATAAAGAGAGAAGCTCAAAAACAGCAAAACTAGGTAGGTTGGGAAATTCATAGGACAGGTCAGCAAGCCATAAAGTGTTTTGTGATTTGAATAGCTCCTATTAGCTAAACTATTAGTGAATAGCAAACTAAGTGGGGTGTTCATAGAGACCTGATGACTAGCCGATGTTGATAACTAATGGTAGCTAATGAATTGCATGATGCAATATGTTAACATATTAATGAAAGACAAACAAACAGATTCAACTCAGAAATGGCATTTTATTATTGAGTCAACAAGAATTTGCAAACAATGTAAAATCTATGATGATTACAACGGTTAACTTAACATTACAATCTTGACCGCCTAAGTTACCAAAGCAGTTTTGCCTCCTGGCTGTGTGTGCACCCAGTAATGTTTGTAAACAGGAAACCTGTCTATAATACTGAGAGCACACATATCTCACATTTTTCTTGTATTTTATTTTTTCTGCTGAGGTTCACTTATAATGTTTGTGGTGGTGTGATGTGCTTGGTTTTACATACCAAAAACAGTCTTAATGACTTTTACATGACCATTTTCCCAACCTCTTTCTATCCCTCAGAATTAAACGGGCCATTTTACTGTGCCTTTAAGACTGATATATGTAAATAACCTTTGTTCTGATTTGCTGCCCTGCATTGTGCCTCATTCAAAGAGCAATCCGGGTTGAAACACTCCTTCACTAACTTCAAGATGAATGGGTGAGGCTAAACTGGTGTAGGTGGAATAGGCAGATATATTTGGATGATTTGGCTTTTCATGACATCACAAATACAATGAATTCAAAATTAGGCTAGTTTTCATATATGGCCTGGGGAGAAAATGGTACATTTCGAAATCTTAACAGTGAGAAAATTGTGGTTTTTCATGATATGGGCCCTTTTCACTGCAAATTAGCTTCGGCTAAAAGCCCTATATGCATTTCACGTGCTGCAATGTATGTAACAATGTCTATTTATATTCATGATCATCATCATCATCGTTAACCGATTAGTCCAGATAGGGTCGCGGTAGCAGTTGGGAGAGCAGAGAATCCCAGCCAACCCTGTCCCCCGCAACTTCCTCCAGCTCATTCTCGGGGACCCCAAGCCGCTCCCAGGCCAACTTGGAGATATAATCCCTCCAGTGGGTCCTAGGTCTTGTCCCGATAGGCCGTGCCTGGTACACCCCCACCAGGAGGCGTCCAGGGGGTATCCGGATCAGATACCCAAACCACCTCAGCTGGCTCCTTTCAATGCGGAGGAGTAGCGGCTCTACTCCGAGCTCCTCCCGGATGGCCGAGCTCCTCACCCCATCAAATAGAGTGTAGCCCGCCACCCTGCGAAGAAAGCTCATTTCCACCGCTTGTATTCGTGATCTCATTCTTTCGGTCATTACCCACAGCTCATGACCATAGGTGAGGGTCGGGATGTAGACCGACCGGTAAACAGAGAGCTTCGCCTTATGGCTTAGCTCCCTCTTCACCACTACAGTCCGGTACAGCGACCGCATAACTGCTGCCACCTGTCCCAGCCTCCGGTCGATCTCATGATCCCTCTTCCCATCACTCTTGAACAAGACCCCAAGATACTTAAACTCCTCCACCTAGGGCAAGTCCTTTCCCCTTACCTGGAGTGGGCATGCCATCCTTGTCCGGGCTAAGACCATGGACTCAGACTTGGAGGTGCTGATCTGCATACCAACCGCTTCACACTCAGCTGCAAACTGCTCCAGTGCGTGCTGGAGGCATCCATGTGATCCAGCCAAAAGAACAACATCGTCTGCAAATAGCAGAGACGCCACCCTCTGGCCTCCACACATAATGCCCTCCTGACCCCGGCTATGCCTAGGACACCCTGTCCAATATCACGAACAGGAGTGGAGACAGGGCAAAACCCTGGTGGAGTCCAACACTAACACTGAAAGAGTCCGACTTAATGCTGAGCATACGAACACAGCTCTCACTCCGGAAGTACAGAGATTGAATGGCCCAGAGTAGTAGCCCTGGCACCCCATACTCCCAGAGGACCTCCCACAAGATATCTCGGGGAACATGGTCGTAAGCCTTCTCCAAATCCACAAAACACATATAGACTGGGTTGGCAAACTCCCATGCCCCCTCAACAATCCGTGAGAGGGCGAAAAGCTGGTCCATTGTTCCACGGCCGGGACGGAATCTGCATTGTTCCTCCTCAATCTGAGGTTCAACTATCGGTCGAAGTCTCCTTTCCAGCACCTTGGCATAGACTTTCCCAGGGAGGCTGAGCAGTGTGATACCCTGATAGGTGGCACACACCCTCCGGTCCCCTTTCTTAAAAATAGGGACCACCACCCCGGTCTGCCACTCCAAGAGTACTGTTCCCGAGGTCCATGCAATATTGCAGAGGTGTGTCAGCCATGACAGCCCCACAATATCCAGAGCCTTAAGCATCTCTGGACGAATCTCATCCACCCCCAGTGACTTGCCACTGAAGAGCTTGCCAACTACCTCAGTGACCTCCACCAAGGAAATGGAGCTTGACACACCAGAAGCCTCTGGCCCTGACTCCCGTGTGGGAGGCATGCCTCCCGGATTAAGGAGTTCCTCAAAGTTCTCCTTCCACCGACTGACAATATCCTCATTTGAAGTCAGAGTTTCTCCACCCCTGCTGAATACAGCTTGGGCACAGCCAACCCGACCGCTCCTGAGTCGCCGGACAGTTGTCCAGAACCTCCTTGAGGCCGACCGAAAGTCTTTTTCCATGGCTTCACCAAACTCCTCCCACGCCCCAGATTTTGCTTCTGTCATCGTTGCAGCTGCCACCTTTTTTGCCTGTCGGTACCTATCT